AGTAGGTTGTAGAAGGGAAATCAGGATCCGTTGGGAGACCCTGAATCTCCTGAGATGTCTGAGGTGATAAAGGCGCTGTCTTACCTTCCTCACCACAGTATCCGTGTGTACAGTCCACGATAAATCCTTGGAAATGTGCACTCCGTCTCCGAGATATTTAAAGCTACTCACCCTCTCCACTGGCGTCCCATCTATCAGGACAGGGATGTAGGTCCTGCGACGTTGTGGGCAGAAGTCCACCACCATCTCCTTGATCTTCTCTCCACAAAAATCTCCACATTGTCAGGTCTGACACCTCCTGTAGATTGGCCCGCTCGTCGTTGTTAGTGATCAGGCCCACCACAACCGAGTCGTCCACAAATTTCACGATGCTGTTGGAGTTATGCCTGGCGACACAGTCGTGGGTATACAGGGAATAAAACAAAGGACTCAGCACACAGCCCTGAGGGACACCAGTGTTGAGGACGAGGGAGTGTGATGTGTGCCCTCCCGCTCTAACAACCCGTCTAAGCCTGGCAGTTAGAAAATCCAGGATCCAGGCACACATTGATGGATTCAAACCCAGGTCATACAACTTCGTAGCCAGCCTGCTGGGGACTACAGTATTGAAAGCCAAACTGTAGTCTATGAACAGCAGTCTGACATAACCCCCTCCTGTGATGTTAAGGTGGGAGAGGGTGTTGTGCATGACCCGGGAGATGGCGTTGTCTGTGGATCCGTTGGAGCGGTAGGCGAACTGCAATGGATCTATGGTGCTTTGAAGAGAGGAACCGATGTAATTTTTTATCAACCTTTCAAAGCACTTCATGATCACCGAGGTCAGTGCTACTGGACGGTAGTGGTTCATGCCAGCTGGGGAGGCGTTCTTGGGCACAGGGATGATGCTGGACATCTTGAAGCATGTGGGGACTGTGGATTGTGCAAGAGAGAGATTAAATATGGAGGTGAACACTGGAGCCAGAAGGTCAACGCAGGTCCTTATGACCCTTCCTGAGATCCTATCCGGACCTGCCGCCTTCCTGGTGTTTACCTTTTTAAGCTCCCTTCTCACGTTGTTGCTCAGAGAAGACTGGGCTGAGTGCTGCCTCACTTGTAGAACTCCATCTATCTGCATTAATCAAGCCCTTGTTCGCATTACCAGCGTTAGTATTGCTAGATTCGAAACGTGCATAAAAGGAGTTCAGTTCGTTCGCCAGCGTCTCGTCTGCACTAACCATGCAGGGGCGGACCCCCTTATAGTCCATGATCTCATGTAATCCCTGCCATATGCTTCGTATGTCCTTTTCCTGCAACCCGGTCTCATGCCAAGACGTCATATAACTGACGTTTTGGGACGTCTTTTGACCATACGTCAATATTCGCCTTTTTAGGGCCTCCTTAAACGTCGGTAGATGAGGTTATGGGATCCTAACTCTACCCCAGACCTAAACCTAACCCTAAACCTAACCCGTAACCTAACTGACATTAAAGGTAAAGCGTCAGTTGTATGACGGCCCGGGATCGCCATCTACCGACGTTTAAGGGGGCCCTAAAAAGGCGGATATTGACGTATGGTCAAAAGACGTCCCAAAACGTCAGTTATATGACTTTTTGGGATGAGACTGTGTTGTTTCCTGGAATTTTGCTTCCATCTTGTCTCTGTAGTGCCGCTTAGCATCCACTATGTCCCGCCTCAGTTTGTAACGTGCAGCCTTATATTCGTGCCGTGTACCAGCTGCTTTGACGCGATTATCAAGTTAACTGACTTGTACCGTGTGCAATATCTCACGACCTCCCCGAGTGTCCGAACTCCCACTGTGTATGCCGCCTTTTAGTATTGCACCAAGACCACCTGGGCTTGCATCAATGAGTAGTGTGGACTTCCCAATTCCTTGAGTGATCTTTCGAATCTGTTCAAGCAGTGGCTGTATGGTGAAATGAAATGTTGTCATTCTGAGCAGACTGCGTAATTCGGACACATTCTGTAGGGCTGTGAGATTCTTAATGGCAATTATCTTCTTCGGATCTGCAGAAATTCCTTTGAAAACACATGTACTTTGTTCTCACACTTCTTTGTTGAGGTGAGGTTTTTTCTCTCTAAGTCTCTTGAATACAGCTTACAGACAGGCGTTGTGCTCTTCTCACGTCTAGACAAACTATGATGTCGTCACTCATATTTTTGACATTTGGGATGCCATGAAGGACCTGTTGAATTGTGTTTTGAAACACCTCGGCACTTGAACTAATCCCAAAATTAAATGTATCTTTGAATGGGGCAATTGGGAATTTGCATGTCCACGCATATTCTCACACTGTCAGGAGTTTTTGCGTTATAGGACTATAGCTGAAACTATAGGTGATACCTAAGGTGTCGGACCACTAACTTTTTCAATGATACCTTGTTGTTCAAGTTTTTTGAGTTTTTGTCTTCATCTGAACTCGTTGAAGCTTCAGAGTGCGTTTTGCATGCTATATCATCTGTATGCACAGTATTAACTTTTTGTTTCACCTCTTGAAACTTGGGCTTTGCTGGATTTGGGAAATTGGTTGTATAGAAATCTGTTCAGAATTGTCTTATTGCATGTCTTACGAATGATTTGGATGATTTTGCATGCATCTCTTTTATGCCAGCTGCTTGTTTATCTGCTGTTTCTTAAGCTCTTCCTGCATCTAATAATTGCTGAAGTGTCATTGTTGCATCGCGGAGTGAAATCTTGCGGAGACCCCGGTTCCCTGAGAGGGAATGAGACGCTGCATTTGAGATTCGGTGGGAACGCTCCGCGATTAGGTCGTGAAGCACATGTAAAATGGAAGCCCGAAACGTCATGGGTGATGTCATAGACCAGGAAACTATAAAGCACCCCTGAATTCAGATCGCGCCAGCTTCTGAAAAAACCTGAAGCAAGTTGATCAGGGCATGCAGGAAGTATGGCAGATAAACGAGCGTCTCGTTCCCTCTCAGGGAACCAGGGTTACATACGTAACCCGAGACGTTCCCTTTCAAGGTGCGTTTGAGATGCGGTTGGAACCCCATACCCACTACACCATTGACAAATGCCCGTTCTGTGTGAAGTCCTTGCGCACACTAAGAAGCACGCAACCTCGCCCCCAGGAGTGGAGAGGTCAAGGTCATAAAACCTGACAAATGTATGCTGAGAGAGGACCATCCTGCCGCATTACAGATATCAAGAAGGGAAACACCCAAAATTAAGGCTGTAGAGGCCACCATACTCCTTGTAGAATGGGCCCGTACAGCAATAGGTGAAGGCTAACCAGCAGCTTCATAAGCCAATGATATAGCCTCGACTATCCATTTGCTCATCACCTGTTTAGATGCAGGGCACCCTCTCTTGAGTGACCCAAAGTAGACAAATAATTGTTCAGACTTACACCACAGGGCAGCTCTATGAACGTAGGCATCTAATGCACGAACTGGACATAACAGGTTCAGTCGTTCCTGATCTGGGGTATTAAAAGGTGGAGGATAAAAGGCCTGCAGCACTATTGGGTCCCC